CTCTACACCAACATCTCTCGGTGGGCCTCCCACCATCTCTCTTCCTTATACTTCCCCTTCATTGATAGAGCTTTTCTCCTTTCCCTTCTTATGCTGCTGAAAGCAAACCACTACCCGCAAACCTTCTTTCGTTCTTTAGCTTTCCACCAGTCACTCTCCTCCGTGAAGACAGCTTCACCAAAGCGTACCAGAATAGTCCGACACTTGGCTCGCCCAAGACTTCTAAATTGCTATTCACTAATCCCCCATGATAAGAAAATGATGGAAGTAGATGACGAGCAGTCTCCCAACAGCGGGAGTCCAGACTCCTCACGGTCGGAGAGTCCTGCTACCGCCTCGACACCATCACCAATGATCGAGGTCGAAGAAACAGTGACCATTCTCCCCCCACACAAGGCCAAAAACAGCAAACAAAAGGACTCAACCAAGTCCAGAGATGTTCGTCCAGTTCCGGACATCATCAAGCCTCGTGCCTACCAGCGAGAGATGCTGGAGCAGAGCCTGAAGAGGAACATCATCGTTGCGGTAAGCACCTGCAGGTATCGTCATTTCGAATCATATCATCTAACAGTCATAAGATGGATACAGGCAGTGGCAAGACCCAAGTGTATGTTCATAGCAGAGTGTTATGGGAGTGAGACCTTGACTGAACACTGCAGCGCTGTTCTTCGCATTCAAGCGGAACTTGAGAGATGTTCACCTGACAAGGTTCGTGGATCAATGAACAAACCAATAGCAGGCCACTGACTACCTATGTAAAGCTTGTGTGGTTCTTGGGCAATACCGTTGGCCTCGTTGAGCAACAGTATAATGTCATCAAAGGACAAATGCCATCGGTGCCTATGAGATCGCTTACGGGGCAGCTCAACATCGATACATGGTCGCCAAGTATTTGGCCACAAATTCTCGAGGGCACTCGCATAATAGTATCTACATTCTCCATCTTGCGTGATGCTCTTGACCACGCCTTTGTCACAATGGACATGCTCGCTTTAATAGTATTTGACGAAGGTAAGTGGCTGTTCGCGTTACAATCACTCTTGTTAACCAGTGGCAGTCCATAATTGCGTTAAGAACAACCCTGGGCGGAAGATCATGATGAACTTCTACCATCGACACAAGAACGCGGGTATGCCAGTACCAGCCATACTTGGCTTGACTGCCAGTCCCATCATCTCATCAGATCTCAAGGAGATTGAGAAACTAGAGAATACGATGGACGCTATCTGTGTTACTCCGACCATTCATCGAGAGCAACTGCTAAAGCATATCAACAAGCCTTACCTCGTTCGCTCTCTCTACGAGGTTACGAAGATCCCTCCCCGTACGCCACTGATGCAACAATTGCAATCAGAATACTCGAATATGGATATTGCAAAGGATCCTGAGGTTCTTAAGTTAAAAGCTCTTGTTGCTAATGATGAAAAGAAGCGGGAAAAGTTGATGGACGTGATTATGAAGCACGATACCTTCTCACAACAGCAAATCAAGGGCCTCTGGAACAAGAGCAGAGAAATCCTTGCCGAACTTGGCAGCTGGGCAGCAGACTATTACATTTCACAGATGATCAAGAACTTCCTTGGCAGAATCGACGAGCCTAGTACTTTCACCGATGCATGGTCTAACGATGACAGGACCTACCTTGCAGGACACTTGCGCCGAATCAACATTGGTGTCTTTGATAACTCACCACCAACCGAGCAAACTGTGTCACACAAAACTAGCCGACTGATCCATGAACTTCTTGAGGCCAAGAACGATGCAGTTGGAATCATTTTTGTCAAGGAACGAACTGCAGTGCATACGCTTTGCAAGCTTCTTAACAACTACCCCCCTATCCAAGACCGTTACAAAGTCGGTGCAATAGTCGGGTCTTCGAGCTACGGACTCCAGAAACAGAAGGTCTATGAGTACCCCATTGGCTCTGACAATGTACTCGAGGAATTCAGATCAGGGGCTATCGATCTCCTGGTGGCTACCAGTGTCTTAGAAGAAGGCATTGATGTTCCCGCATGCAACCTAGTTGTGTCCTTCGACGAAATTGCTACCCTCAAGTCATTTATCCAACGCCGTGGACGAGCTCGCAAGCAGGAGTCCAAGATGATTGCCTTGATGAGCTCAGGTGCAGACTCCCGCGCCTGGGAAGACCTGGAAATAGGCATGAAGGAACGTTATGAAGATGACCAACGAGAGTTGGATCGATTGGATAAACAGGCGTGGGCTGAGGATATTGATTCTACCTGCTATATCGTGAAGAGCACAGGAGCACGGCTAGACCTCCATAATGCTCGACAACACTTGGATCGCTTTTGCCGTGTTGTTTTTCGCTCGGAGTATGTCAACCAGCTCCCTGAATACGTCTTTTATAAAGAAGAGACTCCATACGGTGGGCCGATATTGAGAGCTACAGTCACTTTGCCGGGAGGGTTGCCGCTGAATCTTCGCACGTTCAAAAGTGCTTGCGGATGGAAGTCTGAGCGGAATGCCATCAGAGATGCCGCATTTCAGGCTTACGTCGCTTTGTACGAAGCTGGGCTGGTCACAGATAACCTGGCCCCTCTCAATGCCAAGTCAGAGACGGTGGAAGAGAAAATCGATCTGATAACGGAGCCCCTATTCGACCCTTGGGTCCAGATCGCCCAACGCTGGAAGTCGGATTGTGATAAGCAAGCCTACTTGTTCGATTTTACTGATGACGAATTTCCCCGACCTTGTCTATTTTGGATCATTTTACCTGCTCTGATCGACCTGCCTCGAAACATCACGTTATACCCTGGGAATGGCCCCAATTGGTCCATTGTATGCCGTTCGGTCGACGAAATACCCAACGAGGTATCTTCAAACGAACCAGATATAACTTCGGCTCTCTTGGCGATGAACTTTCAACACCGCTGGGATGTCGACGATCGCGAGCATGTCATCAAGATGTTCTTGGAGAGTACATCCATCTCCGCTCCCCCCAACGTCACCCGGGATTCCATGGCTGCATATCCCTTCCGCGGGGCAGGGGAAGAACAGGCCAAGAAGCACAGGGTTCTCGTGCGGGATAAAAAGAACAAGCCGTTTCACTACGTCCGCACGATTCCATCAAAACCTAAAATCGACGATGTGCAACACCCATTCTATGAATATGGGACAGCAGAAGAGCATGAGGAGTATCTGGTTCTGGAAAAATGGGGTACCCGAAACGATTTACTTCACGATTTAAGAGGAGATGTTCAGCCTAAGTCAAGCACTAAGCCATACGAATATGTGCTTCCTATTTCTGAAGCCCGTGTTGATAAGGTCGGAAGACGAGTCGTCAAGTGCGGTCTGTTCATTCCACACATCATACATGAGCTAGAGGTGCATCTTATTGCTTCCGAATTATCGTCTACCCTTCTGAAGCCAGTTGGCATCGAGAATTTGCAGTTGGTGCTCGAGGCCATAAGCTCACCTAGTGCTTGTGAGCCTGTTGACTACCAGAGACTTGAATTTCTGGGCGATTCGATTTTGAAGTTTTGCACCGTCACTCAGGCTTATTCTGAACGTAAGTAGCCCCCTTTGTTGTAGAGGTCGATACACTAACTGTCACAGACCCGTCCTGGCCCGAAGGGCTTCTGAACCATTTTAAAGATCGACTCGTATCCAACGAACGTCTCCAACGAGTGTGTATTGAGAAAGGGCTCTCGAAGTTCATTCTTTCGAAGAGTTTCACCGCTTTGAAATGGAGGCCACGCTATCTTGATGACATTCCCAAAGGTATACTCCCCTCTCGGCCCGCCCCAACGCGAGGATCGAAGACCTTGGCCGATGTTGTCGAGGCACTTATCGGAGCCTCTTACCACGACGGAGGGATGACCAAGGCCCTTAAATGCATTTCGATCTTTTTGGGTGACAGGTGCAATTGGCATCAAGAGGGTGTGGCTAGAGACATTCTCTTTGCTGCAGCTCCTAGCGACGTTAAGCTTCCCAGTATCCTTGAACCTCTTGAAGACCTGATCAAGTATACGTTTAAGAAGAAGTCTCTGCTGATCGAAGCAGTCACGCATGCTTCATATGCTACAACCATGCAGGAAAGATCCTACGAGCAGCTCGAGTTTCTGGGGGACGCTGTCCTGGATTATATCGTTGTCACCAAAATGTTTCAGCACGATCCACCAATTCCTACTGGTCGCCTTCATATGATCAAAACGGCCATTGTGAATGGAGAGTTTCTTGGATTCGTGAATCTAATCAACTCTATCCAACGAGAAGACTTGGAAGTTGAGCGAGTTGAGCTCAACGGTAAGCCTACAACCGAAACTACTACACTTCCGCTTTGGAAGCTTACGACCAAAACTACTGCACTTCCACTTTGGAAGTTCATGAGGTTTAATTCTTCCGAAATGGCCAATGCCATGGTAAAAACTGAGGAGAGATTCGAGTCCATGCGACAGGAGCTTGTCACGGCTTTGTGGGGTGATGGGCACGTACCCAGTGGTGATGGCCCCTATCCCTGGGTACTCCTCGCACGCCTTCAGCCCCCAAAGTTTTATTCAGATATTTTTGAAGCTCTTCTGGGTGCCGTCTGGGTCGACTCCGGGTCGATTGAAGAGTGCACGCGTGTTCTTGAAAGATTTCAGGTAATGGATTATCTGAAGTTTGTTATGGAGAAGGACATACACGTACAGCATCCCAAAGAGCAACTCTCCAAATTGGCTATTGCAACAAAAGTGAAATACACCACAACCGAGATCGAAGAGCCCGATCCTCTATGGAGTTGTGAACTCACAATTGGAGAGCGTTTGGTAGCAGAAGTCGAAGGTTCTCTCAACAAAGTTGAAGCTATGGCCAAAGCTGCGGAGAAGGCAATTCGACTTTTGACAGGAGCGATGAATGCAGCCGATCAGCAACAAGATGCCATGGACACCTCGTAGGAAGGGGATCAGGAACGCGCCTCACTGAGAGATGATATTGCACAGAAACAGGACGAGGTCTCGGCCGATACTTCGCCAGAGAAGGAGTCCACCGATCATCCAATGGAAGGCACCCTGACCGACAATCCGGAGGACAAGGATCCGGTCGTTCCTCCAAAGAGAGAGAACAAGACGAAGTCGTTGAATGAACCACCGAAGAACGAGAAACCGAAGCATTTGGCCGTCCACCCAAAGGAAGTGGGTTCAGCTTATGGACACATAGAGGAAGATTTGATCGATTTCTCGGAGGATGAGATGTCGGTCGACGGTCCAAAGGAAGTGGATTTGGGCTATGATTCCATGGAGGAGGATTTGATTGGGTTCTCAGACGATGAAACGTTGGACGACCGTCCAAGTAAAAAGAGACCAGTTGACGTTTCAGAAGATCACGAGATAGCTGATCTTCCAGAGAAGAAAAAGTTTAAGAAATTTTGAGGCGAGAGGATACTGGAGCTCACTTGGAGATAGATCAAGAAGGATAAGACTAGACATTGCTTGCAGATAACTAGATAGATACCCTAGCTCGTCTATACTTGCTTTCCAAGTTCTTCCAAGATCGTGGCTACTGTCCACTCAAACGTTTTCTCAATATCTCCATCAGCACTCACATCACTCTGTACCTTGATACCCTCCTTATCCAAAACATCTGTCTTGAACTTGCCCTCTACATCGCCATCCTCAAACATCCAAGCATGCTCTTCTACATAGTTAGGCCATACGATCTTATCAACATAACCAGGAGGGTCTGCCCAGAAGCCCTCCAGGGTGACGTATCCGTCTCTGGCTTCTCTTCTCTTCTTAGCCTTCTCGTACGTTGTGCGCAAGAAGAGTTTGATGTCCAGATTGGGCTTTATAGCAGCCATAGAAGGGGAGTAGAGAAGAAAGCCATCAAGGAGACATAGACGGAGGGTTTTACGAAGGGGATGGTCTGGGCCTAGAGCGGCATCGACTTTGGCACGTTGAGCGGCGATGCTGGCTTCTGATACGGGGCACTTGCCCACGGAGTTTTTATCTTCTTTGGAGTCAAGGGTAGGCTAAAGGATAAAGTCAGACATAAAGATCATGACTCAAGATGTATGACTTACAGGAAAGGCGGCGTGTTGGCGGATATAAGTGAGGGACTCGGCCATGGCCGGGATGTCAAGGGCCTCAGCGCAGTCCCAATCTAAGAGACCATTTTTGGTGGGCAGCCTATACCTAGAAGTTAGACATAGCTCATGCCAAAATATCGTCTGATCATACTCATTCTCAGGTCTATAAAAGTCATCCTCGTGAAGAATGAAAGTATTGGGGAAAATGTCCCGCAGTAGCCGTGCAAGGGTCGTTTTCCCACTGGAGGAGCACCCCGAGATGCCGACTATGAGGGCCTTATTTGGGGTCATGATGCCAAGATATCAGCAGTTGATTTAACATATGTTGTGTAATGTTAGACTGGTCGTGGGTTTGACGTCGGCAAAGTGCGGGAGGATCGCAAGCACAGATGCACGCACGCACGCACATGCAGGGGAGGGTTTGATAGTGGCACTCAGCCGCTAACGATGGAAATACAGGGGTTATTATCGGACCCGACTTTGATCTACGAGACAAGGTTCAACGGACTTGGCATCATTTTCGAAGTCTAAACTATTGAATTTATCGTCCGATAAAAGTTAAATAGACTAAAACTAAACCAAACTCCGGATATTTTAGATCTGGAGTAAGACAGTCACGCGATGGTCGTTGCGATAACCTCGCACAATCGCAATCAAGATCGTCGTCTCCTTTCCCCGTCGGGTCTAGCGGAAGATATTGGAGAGACGAACCACAGCCGTGAGACGTGGCATTGGGTCGACCGATTTGCTGAGAGACCGTGAAAGCACGGCGGCGATTAAATAAACATGTCTCTACGTGCGACAACACCTTACTATCATTGGTAGCGTCTACATTCCCTTGCGGGAGATTGCCAAGAGCTGCACTATATTTTACTACAATTAGACTTAGGCTTAGATTTAGACTTGATTTTTGGCTGCCATCAAAGGGGGCAAGTTTGAAGCAAGGGCGGACGTATTTGTCTAAGTCGATGCCAGCAAAGAAATGCCCATTTTGCTTCTGTTCTTCATGATATCGGCCCTCTCTAGCCTCAGTCTGTCCATGTCCCCTCTGTCCATGTTTGCTTCTTCCCCCTTCTCGCCTCTAATCTCAGCTCGCATTCTCCCCAAGCGTGCCAAGTCCGCCATCATGCACTTATAACTCGATTCCGAGTCATACACCAAGATTCCAACAAATTGAATGGGCTATCTTGCCCAATAATTCGCAGCCGACACATACCAGGCGCCTCTCCCGTGTGCCCTCCCTTGAGAACAACGTTTCCCCTTGATATAATGGTATATGGCTACCCAAACGTAACATGGGACAGCATTCCCGGCTTCTGCCCCAAGCAACAATGTTGAAGCCTCCAAACTCCTCCTTCATGGAGAAGACTCTGCCCCTAAGGAATAGGGTGGCAGAAAAGATTGAGTGGGTGAAACTTCGTACGCCAAAAGTGGTAAAATCGAGAGCATTTCGAAGAGCGGCGACCATTACATCTGCTGTGTTCCTTGCACTCACATTCATTATCGTTTTGGCAAAGTTGACGAATGCGGGCTTCTTTATACCAAAACTTGTCAGCCATATCTCGAGATATCCCACATGTCAGAGCAAGGGGATCAATGGAACGAGAGACATATGGGAAGCTTCACAAAAGAAGTACGAGAATCTGATGGACGATAAGTTCACGTACGCTTCTGAACCTCTTCCCGGTCTCAGTGGTAGAATGCTAACAATGGTCATGTCCCAGAATTGCTATGCAAACGTATCGTCGGCCGAAGGAACTCCAAGAAACGCTTGACATTATCCTGAGCGAGGAAGTCCCCTCACTCCTCGAAATAGTCGTCGTCTGGAACGATCTCGAAAACTATCCCCCGGATGACTACGTTTCAAAACACGGAGTCCCAGTCCGATTCCGAAAGTCGAAGCGCAACAGCCTCAACGAAAAGCTCTGGCCCGATCCCGACTACAAGACACAAGCGATTCTGCTCTCAGACGATGATGTCTACTATCACCCGAACGACCTCGAGTTCGTCTTTCAGACATGGCGCAAGTTTGGCAGGAATCGAATGGTCGGTGCTCTCGCTCGATGCACGCCTATCGATACGTTTGGATACCACAAGTACACGTTCTGCTCCAGCAGATGGGGAGAGGACGAGTATAACATGGTGCTGACCAATCTGGCTTTCTCACATGTGTCGTTCCTCGACTACTACTCTTCCAACGACACGATCATGACACAAATCAGAGACTATGTCGACGAGGGCTTCAACTGCGAGGATCTTGCCATGAACTATGTCCATGGACTTCTCACGGGCGAAGGGCCTCTTCTCATCAACGGACATGAGAAGTATGTCAACTTTGTTCCTAAGGTTGGAATCAGTATGAAGAAGGGTCATATGGAGGCCCGAAGCGCCTGTCTGAACGACTTTTCCAAGATGTTTGGATGTCACCCCTTGGTCGACGAGTCGGGGTATATTCAACGAGGTGTGCTGGTAATGTGAGGAGTTTCAGGATATAATTGATGTTATTTTGAGCGTTTTAAGTCGCAATGAGGCGATTCTCATGCGAATAGTGTATAACAAGACGGGACCAGAACCAGATAGTTGCCTGCGCAGGGTTAACTGCTATTAAGGCAGAGTTAAAGACGGCTGCACCAGGAGCGTTGTATCACGGCAATTATCGATTTAACGAATGCTTTGGAATTGAAACGAAAGATAAGAAAGTCGAGCAATGAAACACGCTGAAAACATGATCTTGGTCGGGCTTTGAAACGTCCATGAAATCGATTTTCATGGATAATTCGCTGCTGCCCCACGTGATGTAACCAACGTCAACCTACAGCACTTGGATCCATCACCAAAACCACCAAAAACAGCATCACAACCTCAAATCCTCCTCCTCATCCCCAACCATGGCGATGAACCCAGGCGAACAAACAGGAGTAATCATCTCCACGGCCGTCGTAGCCCTCCTCACCGGTTACGCTTTCGGTATCTACACTATCCGAGGCTACCTCATCCCACCCTCTCTGTTTGAGGAGCGCCGGCGCAACCTACACGACCCTGTCGAGAGTGACGAGAGCGATTTCGACGAGGATGACACTGTTCTCGATCATGCTCCCAACTGGGCCAATGGCGCCGACGCCGATAAGAGGCAGGGTCTGAAGAATGTTGAGAAGGAGAAGGAGCCTGTTCTGAAGGACAATGGAGAGGAGTGCAAGCTTGTTCTTGTTGTGCGAACAGATCTGGGCATGACAAAGGGTACGTTAACACAATCACTCTTGAAATTGTCTATGCAGTGCTGACAGTATGTGCTGTAGGCAAAATCGCTGCTCAATGCTCCCACGCTACCCTCGCATGCTACAAGGCCCTCTCCCGCGCCCCCGCCGACTCTCCCCTATCCAAGATCCTCAAGCGCTGGGAACGTCTCGGCCAGGCCAAGATCGCCGTGCAAGTCAAGAGCCAGGACGAAATGCTCGAGCTTCGACGCAAGGCCCGGTCTCTGGGTATCACAGCTGAGGTTATCCAGGATGCTGGCCGAACACAGATTGAGGCGGGCAGCATGACAGTCCTGGGCGTTGGACCTGCGCCCAGAAGCCTTGTTGACCAGGTCACTGGTGGGCTCAAGCTGCTGTAAATGGCGAAGGCTCGAAAAGAATGAGAGGATTTTGGCGATACACGAAGACACGCACGGGATTACGAATTGGGTCGGATATGTAAAAGTACTGCAAAATAGACATTCACATGGGAATTTGATAGATAGACCCGCATTTTTCACTCAAAAAGAAGCATGCTTTCTGTGTGATAAAGGGTATTATTCGCATTTGCACATTCAAGTCTATTACTCCTTTTTCGCAAACCTCGCCAACGCCGGGCCCAGATCCGCTTCCGCCTCGATCTGCTTCTTGTCCTTCTTGGCCTGCTGCTCCTTCCAGATCTCGTCCACCTGCAATCTCTTGTCGTCGATAATGTTCTTCTTTCGTTGCTTGCGCAAATACTTCTTGAGCGCGCCGTTCTTGCCTCTTGCTCGCTTGCGGATCTCCTCGGCGATATCTGTGGCTGGTGTATCGAGGTCCTTCTCTGCGCGGCGCTGCTTGTCGGATCGCAAATCCAAGTTTCCTATGTAGTTGGGGTCGAGGGCGATCATATCGGGCTGAAGCTTGTTCAACAGACCCTTCACTTCGGACTCCTGTCGTTGCTTGGCAGTCTCGAAGGGGTTGACCTCCAGTGCGTCGTAGTTGGCCTCACCAGCGCCAGGGACGATGATGGAAGAAAAGCCTGAATCGTGACCGAGGCCGAGAACATCTTCGAAGGGGCACCAGCGCACGCGCTCAATACGCTTGCCCTCACCACCCCAGGCCATATAAGGGCTTTGGACCTTTTCTTGAACAGGGGCATTCTTGTCGAAAAGACCCTTCCAGATTGTCGTCTGAGTACCCCATCCAACAGCTGTCAAGCCAGTATCTGAAATCGCCAGTGAAGATACAGGCTGGCGTGTGAAGTAGTTGTTAACCTCTCGGAACATTCTCAGATCCCAGACTGCCATCTTCTGATCCTGACCAGCTGACACCATGTATCGACCTTCACGGTCGATGGCCAAGTCTCGTACGGGTCCCCGATGCGCTAACAGTTTAACAAGAGGATCTTGGGTGTTGGGCGACCATAGTGTGACTGTTCCGTTCTGGTGGCCGACATGTAGAATAGCGTTCCAGGGGTTCTGCTTGAGGGAACATGGTTGGCCTAATCGGGTGGGAATTTCGGCGACTAATTGACCTGTTGACGTGTCCTGGTATTTAAGGAAACCGACAGAGCCCTGACGCTATTAGTTGTGCATGTAGTAAGTGGGAAAGGTGAAACTCACGATTGTTGCTAATAGGTAGTGGTATGGCAAAAACTCCATATGAGACACCTCCTGGTGCTTCCTCAAAGTGTGCAGTTCGACGCCATTGTGATCGTAGATATAAACGTACTTCTTCTGCGCAACAGCAAAGTACTGGTTGTTGTGCAACCACTTGATATCCCTTACGGTCTCACCCAGCTGCAATTCGCAACCAAGCTTACCCTCTCGCCAGTCCATCGTCGCAACATGACCCTTTCGACCACCGAGCAACAGGTCCCGCCCATTCCTCGAGTAATCGAAGTGATATGGCCCCAGATCGTCCAGCTTGAGCTCGAATCGCTTTTGCGCAGTCCCCACGGCAATATCCGAAGTAATATCGTCTTGTCGGACTTTGTATGTTCGTTCGAGCTCGTCCTCAGCTTCGAGAAAGCCAGATGTGTTCTCGAGCAAGATCTCGGCATCTTTGGCTTTCAGCGCAGCATCCTGGTACTTGCCCTCAAGGCGCTTCATGTTGCTTCGAAGCTTCTTGTCCTTGATGGCCTTGATGTTGACCTTCTTCCCTCGACCGTAGGCTTTGTTTGCTTCTCGGATTCGGCGAGCACGTTCTCGCTCCTGACGAGGAACGAGTTCTGTTCTGGCGCCTTGAACGGCGAGTGCGCCATTGTCGCGCACCTTTGAAGTGGGCGCATCAACTGTGTCGACCTCCATATTTTCGTATTGTCAACGCGCTCAACTGGAAGAAAGGCAACTTTGAATTGGATGGCAGATGGATTGGCATACAACTTTCCTTATCGACAAAAAAATTCACCGCTTATCGTGATGAGTCTATTGGATGCGATGCTCCACTCTTGGTTGACAGAATAAACGGTCCTCCGAGTATTTGGTTCAATGGATGCAAAGTTATGCTCATTGACTTGAAATGTCATCGACATAAGATATTTAGACTTGTAGTGATCGGATATAAGATATTTGAGAAAAAATTATTCCTTCAGCTTCGCCATATAGAATGGTGAGATCAATCCCTAATAAGTCTGCTCGTCGAGACTCAGCATCCATCTAACAATCAGGGTTCTTTATGTCATCCACTAATACGCCACTATCGATAGGCACAAAAATTATTTTGGATTTAACCCCGCCATCACCGCCTAAGAATATCGACGATATTGCCATCATTTTGCCTACAATTTGTACAGAAATCTCAATTCGATACTTCTGTCCCTCAATCTGGCTTCGTTACCATTTCGATTCAAAGCCGGTGGCGAGAGCAAAATGCCCGTCGCTGTGGCTCATTCCCATAGGCCAACCACAAAGGTTACACACAAGGCCTTCAAGTCACGGGCTGCTTCTAAGCATGAGTTGAGGGACCGCGCAAAGGGTAAGACTCTCCCGAAATTTTGTTATTTCTCCAATTCTGACACAAACACAGGCCGAGTTGCCGACGAAAAGGGCAACAGAAAGACTCCCCATCAACAAGTCATGTCTAAATTCGACCGACGAAACCAGGCCAAGCAGGCCCGATTGAACAAGCACAAGGAACATGTTAAGGAAACCTCTGTTTTCGCTGGAAAGGATGGCGCTCCTCGACATGTCGCCGTTATTCCCCTTTGCGCTGGAACCGACCTTGACGCTGCGATCAAGCAGCTGAACAACAGCGTCGATATCGAGGACAACACCGAGAGTGGGAACTACCGAGTCACAGTCGACCGATTCAAGCAAAAATTACAATACATTCCTATCGAGCGAGACCTGAACGCCTGTCTCGACGCTGCCCGTGTTGCTGACTTCGTCATTGTCGTTCTGTCCGCCAACGTTGAGGTTGATGAACTCGGAGAGTTGATCTTGCGAAGTGTTGAGAGCCAGGGCATGTCCACCCTCTTTACTATCGTTGAAGGTCTCGACAAGGTTGAGCCCGCGAAGCAGCGACAAAGTGTTCTAGTCTCTCTCAAATCTTTCATCACACATTTTCACCCTGAGCAAGAGAAGCTTTACAGTATCGAGAACCGACAAGATTGTGCCAACCTCATGCGATCACTGTGCAGCACAACACCAAAGGGCATCCGATGGAGAGACGAGAGGAGTTGGATGCTTGCGGAGGATATCAAATTCGCCTACTCCGAGTCCGATTCAACAGTTATCACTGGTGTTGTCCGCGGCAAGGGCCTCAAGGCAGACCGTCTTCTTCAGGTTGGCGACTGGGGAACTTTCCAGATTGAGAAGATTGAGGCTGCTCCTCTGCCTAAACAGGTCAAGAAGAAGGGAGAGGAGATGACCGTTGACCCCGAAGAGGCTGGCAAGCTTCTGGAGGAGCCTTCTGAGGATCGAGATGACTTGGTGGAGCTGGCTCCTGAGGAGGTCATGATGGACGACGCTGATGACGCCATGACAACTGACGCCACTGAGAAGAAGGGTGTTCTTCTGGATGATCACCACTATTTCTCAGATGAGGAGGCTGAGGCAAGAAAGATCAAGAAGAAGGTTCCCAAGGGTACATCCAACTACCAGTCAGCTTGGTATCTGGAGGATGTCTCTGACTCAGAGTCCGATATGGAGGACTTTGAGATGAAGGATGAGGCTGGAGAGGAGGCCCGTCCTGAGGATGGTCTTGAGGGCTATGCACCTGCACCTGCTACTGAGGGTGCCCCCTCAGAATATCCTCAATCGGAGATGATGATTGAGCCGGATGAGGAGGAGGATGCTAAGCAGCTTGAGCAATATCGAGCTGGAAAGCGAAATGAGGTTGAGGACGATATGGAGTTTCCCGATGAGATTGAGTTGCACCCTAATGTCTTGGCCCGAGAGCGTCTGGCCAGATATCGTGGTCTGAAGAGTCTGCGAACCAGTACCTGGCAGGAGGATGAGGACCGCGCACATGAGCCTGAGGAGTGGAGACGTCTTCTTCAAGTTCCAAATTATCAATCCTCAAAATCCCAAGCCACAAGAGAGGCTCTGGTCGGTGGTGTTGAGCCTGGTACCCGTGTTCACATCTACGTCAAGGGCATCTCTCCTATCCAGGAGAAGACCTACAACCCCAAGAAGCCACTCACTCTCTTTTCTCTTCTACGACATGAGAACAAGAAGACGGCCGTCAACTACCTTTTCAACCTCAGCTCCGATTTCACCAAGTCTATCAAGGCTAAGGAGGAGCTCATTGTCCAGTGTGGACCTCGCCGAATGGTTATCAAGCCTCTCTTCTCCCAGCCTGGTCAAACACCAAATGATGTTCACAAGTACTGCCGGTTCCTCCACCCCGGTCAGTCAGCCATTGCGACCTTCATGGGTCCTCTAACATGGGGTGCTGTGCCTGTTCTGTTCTTCAAGCGAACCACAGCCGAGGAGGTTGAGAAGGACGAGAACGAGGATGGCCCTCACATTGGTCTTTCACTCATCGGCACAGGAACCGCGCTACCACCATCCACATCTCGCGTCATCGCCAAACGCATTATCCTCACTGGCCATCCTTACCATATTCACAAGAAGATCGTCACTATCCGATACATGTTCTTCAACCGAGAGGATGTCGAGTGGTTCAAGGCTCTACCTCTGTGGACCAAGCGTGGCCGCAGCGGTTTCGTCAAGGAGCCTCTCGGTACACATGGTTACTTCAAGGCAACATTCGATGGACGTATCAACCCTCAAGACTCCATCGGCGTCAGTCTTTACAAGCGGGTGTGGCCTCGAAATGCTGCTCCTGTGGAGGGACCCCTATTGGAGATCGAGCCCAGCGCAGTGCAAGCTGATGGCGATATGATGATGGATGACCAGGCATAGACATGACACCCAGTATACCTTTAGAATTAAAAGTTGGCGTTTCTTCCTTTCCTCTTATATGACTATTTCAAGCAGTGTCCCTTTTGATATATATGTGAGCGTTTACTCCAGCTGCTCCAGACCTTCTGTTGGTCTGGGACCTCCCTTGCTTCGTCTCTCTTCCTCTGCGCCACTGGCCTTCCATGCGCTCTTGATGAGTCTGATAATGTGATCGACGCCAACATCCTTCTTCACCTGCGCAAAGACCGTTGGTCCACCTTCTCGGATCTTTCGAGCATCTCTCTCCATGACACCAAGGTCTGCACCAACAATCTCAGCCAGATCGGTCTTGTTCACAACCAAAAGATCACTCTGCGTGATACCAGGACCACCCTTTCGAGGAATCTTGTCACCGCCGCTGACATCGATAACGTAGATGATGAAATCGGCAAGTTCACGACTATAATTCGCAGCGAGGTTGTCGCCTCCTGATTCAATCAGAAGAATATCAGTGTCGAACTCGCGGTGCAGGTCCTCCAATGCAGCGAGGTTCTGTGAGATATCTTCACGCACAGCGGCGTGGGGACAACCACCGGTCTCAATGGCACGGATGCGAGGAGGCGGGAGGGCTTTGTTTCGGGTAAGGAACTCTGCGTCTTCGCGGGTGAAGATGTCGTTCGTCACGGCAGCGAGGGAGTATTCCTTTCGGAGAGCGAGGGACAGGGCGAGCATGAGGGCAGTCTTTCCGGAACCGACGGGACTAATCAAGTCAGCTTTGCCAATACGATTGAGTCAGAGACCCTCACCCTCCAATGCCAATAGTGAAAGCTCTCTCGGACCATTCTCGCCCTTCTACGATTGGCATCTCTCGACCCAGGAAGCTTCCTGGGCCATCGAGAATCTCATGGGAGTGGCCATGCTCAACAGCATTGAAGCCTCCGTCGTGAGAGTGAGAGTGACCGCCGTCGTGAGAGTGCGACATGATGAACAACTCTTAAGTAAACCTAGCTTGAGGAAAGTTTTGTTGTTAGAACTAAGGTAGGGAGGGGAAGCTTCAGATAAGAATATAGAGGCTGCCCTTATCAGCTTGAAGCTCCAAATACTGACGTGGGGGAGGGGTTAAGTGGGTGGAGACAGAAACCTTCGCCCGGCCGGCGGCCAGCGGGTCACCGCCCGGGAAAAGTGGGGCTTGTTCGACTTATACGGATGTTCAACATGGACCATCTTTTTTTGTTTCTGAATGCATTCTCCCATAGCATATGTGTGATTGTCTTGGCTGAGGGCATGTTCACCGGAGGTTGTTGGTTTCCTGGCAGGCTGAGAACCATCCAATGACAACCGACACTCTTTATACCATATACACAGCGCTATAATTCTCGATCGAGGAACATATGCCAAATAGCTTCATATCACTTTAGACTTGACGTGCTCAGTTTTATTTGAATACATTCTGAGTCAGTGCTGTTATTTTTACATCATTTTCTTTCTTGTATGTGGTTTCTTAAGCTTTGCTGTTGTAACCTACATAGTGACAAGGTTTTGCTTATTAAAGACAACCACGCACATCCTCAAGGCCAGCCAAAGAAACAGACTGGACATCAAGGAATAAAGTCAAAAAGAGATCCTAATGCCAGGATTCGAACCTGGGTTTCCTCCCCCTTTCGGGCACGGTTCTGCATAGTGGGCGTCACCGTGTGATACCTTGGAATGCTTGACCACTACACCACATCAGGTTCGGTTATTGAGAGTTTACTGCACAAGATGCCTTCATGAGGAACAGACTTTGTTTACTCTATGGAGTCGTATTTGTTGTTGTTGTTAAGTCGGTAAGCAGGTAAGGCAATCGATTACATGATTCTCCAAAACGCTCGAGCCCCTGTTCGTAACAAAAAATGATAGAGGCACGTTTCGAACAGGTAAATATGATAGATTCTAGTTAACGGATTAGCTGTCATAAAAAGAAAGCACACAACATACATGCCGGGCGGAGGATTGAGCGGATGAACAACCGAGCCTATCAATCATTGGCCTTGAGACAAGCCACAGCAAATATTGAGAGATTACAGTTACTATGTATATCAGAGCTCTCTAACCGAATACAACACACCTCCACAAGGCATATCGGACATAGCCCCATACGGCCAGATGCATGATGAGATCCGGCAATTACAGCAGCTGCGAAATCGCGAGAACAACTACGCCTAGTAGTGCACAGGCATTTTATATGCAGGTTGCGTCCGTGTCCTCAATATGATCTGATCTTAGACAGGGGAGCCAGCGAATCACTATTTGAGGCTGCAGCACACAATTGAGATGTGATAGGGTGTGGCTACGGAAGGCCTTACGTCGCTTTTGTCTCTTGTCACTTATCATTCTCACGAGAGTGCGCGATCAAGATTTACAATTCCGAAACTAGCACAACGGCTTGGTCTAGCGGCCACCAACGTGTTCAACGTCGACTTGTGGAGTGATGTGTGAAGTCCATCAGTTGTCATATTCTCCTTCTTGATATACCAGCGTCAAAAGTTCAAGTCAAGCAATTAAATCGTGCCTGTGGTCACTGATAATCATTCACACTATGATCATACTATTGCTGGTCTGTAAACTCGTCGTAGACCGAAGTGACTTCCTACAAAGATTATGGTAACCGTGTTGGTCTCGAACACAATTGTGGCGTCTCAGCTCTCTGGGGAGTGAACAGCTGGTCAAGGGGTTCGGAAGTAATAACGATCTGCCTTAAAGCGGCTGTCGAGTCATGTCTGTACAGGTAACGTGTTGGGGAGGCTGGCTGTATGACTGCATATGCATCCCCCTAAACCTTTATCTAGATCCTGGCATCCATACTACCGGAACTTGACAAAGCATCCAGTGACGATGTTTGGGCTCAGATTTCTCTCCGATCCCGTCATTGTGAATGTCCAATTTCATCCTGGGCTGCATTGCATCGTACGTTGATAGTCAACTGCACGATGTCTCACTCTGGCGCGGGAAATCCTACATGCACACACCTGGCGTAGCGGCCCAGAAGCCGATACTACAATGTATCTTGGCGCAATACCAGGGGGCCCTGGCCGATGTTCCTGGTGTAAAGTCTGAGAGCAACATGTATATGTGGTCTATTATCTCTCTTCTCTCAGTCAGCTTGCATACTGCAGCAGGTTCCAGTCATGCTCTTGCTGCCACACCATCCCTGAACAGAAACAGTTCTCGATCGAGGAAATATGATAGATCCGATCGAGTCCTCTTGCTAGTCGGCATATGCACATTCGAATCTTGATCCATGCGGGTGCCTCATCTGGCCATCAAGCCACTCATGATTGATTAAAGCCGGGAGGTGACAGAGACTAGGATGGTAGAATTTTCTGCGAGGATTCCAGGACTTGATAACTATATAAATTGAAGAGATGGACCGCCCTTGCTATCAAATTCCGATCTCTATTGCGTTCTCCGTGTCTCTTTCTCTCCCCTACAAGCCATTTTGGGCTTTGAGAAGCGGTTGCTCACGTCGTTTATATCACATTTCTTCTCTCCTGTATTTAATCGTGACAAAGAGACTGCAGTGTTGATCTGCCAGTCATGGTTTCCCAGAATCCACAAACTTCAACCAACAGCACAGAGGAGCGGAAGCCGTTAGTCAAAACATCTCCCGCTATATCTCGTACTGACATTCTACAGGGCCAAATGTTGCGGCTTGATGCTGGCGCCGTACATCTACGATACCGATTCTGTCCAGGAGCATCTCCTGTGCAGAGCCGAAGCCAACAACACTGCGCCAGAATCAGCCAAAAACATGTCTGAAACTGGGGAACAGGAAAACCATGACGATCTTGGGGTTCAAGATCTGGATGCCATGATGCAGGAACCTTCTTCCCTGAAAAGTCGACTTTGAACTTCTATAGTCGCAGTGTATACTAGACCTGCTATGACCATTTGACGGCCTTTGCAACTTGCGCTCTATGTCTCAGTCAACCAAATGGATTTAGCTACGATACTTTTTTAGTGTATTCCTATTAGAGTATTTTTTTATTGCGGATTCACATCATATATGTCGTAGTTCCTAGTATAAATTACACACTTCAGTCATGGCAACCAACCCCTGAATATTATCACGAATATTTGTAGCGCTCCAAGGAAAAGTATCACCCGTAACCCACCGCATCTCCTGAGACCTTCCATATCTGTCTTCCACTTAACCCAAGGCCGCCTAGTCGCAACAACCATGAACCGGGATTTTGACCGGAAGAGCCCCGGAAGCCCCGCTTTTCCCGAATCACACGGAGTTTGTGTGTGTACCCACCTCGGTCCGGATACTCGGGAGTCATTGGTTCAAGCCTATGGTCTGTAAGCGCCCGTTCTATGTTCTCTGAGGTCCTGTCACGGAGCTCTCCTAATCTTGCTGCGCTTCCCCCATCTCTCCCGGCTTTCCCAGTGTTCGAGCTGACCAAGTTGACCTAGAGCTGACTTGCTATACCCCGGAGCACCGACCCCAGGGCTATAAAAACTTCCCCTCTTCTCCCATGTTCCCTTACTATACTCCCTTCTGCTCTACGTTTATGCCCTGGAGCTATCAGTTAACCTCTTGCTTAGCCCCGGCGCCCCCTTTCTTGAAATTCCTCAGATCTCAGCCTTGAAGGGCGTTCAACACACTGTCCCAGATACCCTCCGAAATTCTCCCTCCCATCACTTCCTCATCCCCTTGCCCCGTTTCTGACATCTCATTCTATAAGAAATGCCTTCGAAAGATATTGATTCTCAGATCCCTGTTTTTGAAACTCGAGACGAGCAAGTAACACTAAGCAACTGCCAGTCACCAGGCAACTGACTTGTTGTATCCAGGCCTCCAGAAGATGCTTGCATGCTCAACAGATTCATTTACGATGTGTCTTCACTTCAGGAGCGATTGCTTCAGTTTCCTGGGGTGAAGAACCCTGGTGTTGTGCCTGCTCCGGGCTCGTCAGAAAAGATGGAGGTGGCTGACCCCCCAGAGGATAAGGGCAAGCTTTGACATAGTACCCCCTGTATGGAAGAGAACGGATCTCTATAATGCCATAGTTTTATTTCATCTTATATACACAGATCACATTGTTTCCCTAGCCACAAGAGCTATGAGCCCTCCTGACTTGGCATCATCAGTGTCCGTAGTATCACGTCTTTTCAGGTGTTTCTTCTTCTTTTCTACTAGAGAAATCATTATAGACTACAATAGTATGATCAAAATAATCCATTCCTTATCTCTTTCTTGTTAGATGATTTTACTACGAATTTGTAAGCCGCGCACAAGTTACCCAAGGTGGCAGGTCGTACGCCGCCCTAGAACATACATATCCTTACAACACTTGGATTCTTGGTGAATCTGAAACTTAGCAAGACTCACAGACTTGTCGATCGGCTCTCGAATTCGTGTGTGCTAATTACTAGCAGATTCGCTAAGACTCATACGGCGCACGCAACAGGGTTGTTCTCCAGCTGAATCCAAGCTCAAGGCACGGCCCTTCCATTCCACGTGGCTATGCGCGGCATGTAAGATCTGCCGGGGTTCAAAACATAAAGGGGGCAAGATTCTCGAATATCGTTGGCCGGAGCGAGTCCTTAATTATCCTTATATATGTTAATCTTAACGGATTGGGATTTAGGTGCGTCTGGCTCAAGTGTCAGCAGTCGCAAGTGGATATACTAAGAGCCGGATCGCATCCGTAGGCCAAGGATATCTTTGGAGAAGGACACGCATAAGGGAGATCACCTGAAAATACGCCCGGCTCTTTACGGCCGCGTCTTTATGTCCAGATGATATCTTCTGTTATCATGTTTGCGTCAATGGCGGTGGCCACAATAGGGCACACCGCTCTGTATCGGGATACTTGAATTGGGTGGCCTCAAACAAGGCCGAGCCTCCCCACGAGGCTGAGTCCCTTGGAAAGATCCCAGAAGAGCCTCATGATCTGAGTGGCCAAGTTGTCTCTTGTCTCTACTGGGCTGGGCTGGGCTGGGCTGGGCTGGGCTGGGCAGGTTCTCCATGTAAGTCCCAGCTGTCAATCAACTAAGCGATGCAAAGCATGCCGCATCGTGGGTGCATCAAAGGATCGATGCAGAAAAACCAGATACGGCACTTGCCTACATGAATGTAACCCCCTTTCTAATATAAAATGCATCATCGACAAGGCGTTATCCATTCAGATGATTGCTGCAAGCTCACCGCTTCTCTCTTGTATGCAGCAGGCTGAAAACGAAAGTGCACGTTGGGAGGGTGGGTTCGTAATTATTGGCCTGTGTTGGTTCTGTTCCTGTCCCAACCACTTCTCTCCACAGGTCAAGAATACACGACGTGGAAAATAATACCTACTCTGTAGAGGCCCGAGACATTCTTGAGCCAGGTGCCTGGTTAGGTAGTCTATACACCACTACATGTTGATGCAGATGTCAAATTGGCATCAACTTTGAGACCGCTTCTTCGGTTGTGGCAACAGACCGAGTTTTCTAGTCTTCTTCTGTCTCCTTGCGCTGCATGCACTTTCTCGTGTCTCTTTCATAACAATATTACCGGTCTAGAAAGGCTGTGTTTGGAAATGCGGGCGTTTCGGTGCCCGGACTGTTTGATGGTGTTGAGGCTGTTGTGTGTGTCTTGTCTTGTCTCGACAGGACGTAACTCGAGCCTGCCGATCCTCAGATATCCCCTGAAGACGTTATAAAAGGTCGGAAAGTCTCGTTTCGTTCTTGTAACTCTCATGCTTTGAGGCATGGCTCTTTCAGGACATAGCTTAGAGTTCTCACATCTTCCAATGTTGAAGAAGTACCGCTGAACGGCTCCCCTACGTTTGTCTATTAATTCTATTCATCACATTCCTTAACATATCCCAACACGGGCACTTTATCTTTCAGTGGCTTTCCGATATCCTCTCCGCCTCCGCCATGCCTTGCGACTCAACCCACACTGACACTGTCCATAAGGGTGACACTCCACCGTGAGATACACATACTTGATCATATCATGACTTCAGCTGATAGATTAATTCCTCAGAAACACAACCGAAGCGAAGATGTTAGAGTCCTACATTCACGACACATCCTCTCTTCAGGATCGCTTACTGATGAGGTCCATGGCTGAGGATAACAAGGCAACTGGAAATGGGGCCGGTTATTCAGGACCAAAGGATTCGAAGCTATAAGAGACTCCAAGAAGACTCTTCCAAGTATATTTGTCATTAAGGAACATACTACATGTTATTTGTAAGATTAGTTTGAGTTCTGTTCTGTAAATATACAGTCTAGGCAAATGGATGAACCATCGCCCTTGTTCAAACTACTAGATAACACGAGCCAGGGGAAGCCTTGCAAGCTTCCAGGCATACCGATGGTCCTAGACACCCTGGAAACTGAGCTCAAAAGTGCATACCCAGGCGGTATAGTGAGTAGCCTGTATACAGACATATTGAATGAACCAACATCAGTATCTCGTTATGCTTGGCCCACAACATGGAATCCCATTGCAGCACTTGAAGTCAAGTCCCAACGCTGTCAGCTTTTAGCCTCAGCCGTAACCTTCCGGCACAGGTACCAAATCTTGAAGGATATCTGCTTGGCTCTTGGGGGGTCATGAGAACCAGCTCACCGCTTGTAACCACACATTTAGACCAGACCTCAGTTCCAATGAAAAGACAAGACCATGCGTCTATTTTACGTTTCATGATGTACATTGTTGCACAGATATAATTACACGTTATTCGTACCACCCCTGGCACGCCGTCCTCTATCCAGTTCTCAGCCTCCCATTTTCTCATTTCATTCATTGAGCCGAAGGTGTTGTTGTTGAGGGGGGTATCGAAGCATCCACAGCCGCCACCTTTGTCACACCAGCCTTCTTCTTCTTGAGAGCAGCAGCTTCTTTCCTTTGAGCAAGAATAGCACCAAGCTTCTCCAACATCTCCGTGCTGAGCTCGGGCTCTCCCTCGGCAGCACGCTTTTCGCGCTGCATCTCGTGGAACTCTTGCAGAGGGGTTTGCATAGACTTGATAGACTCCTGTTCGGCCTTCTTTGCTGCTGCCTCGGCCTCCTTCTGCTCCACATACCACTCCTCGTGGCGTGTTCGGAACTTGGAGAACTTGTTTCGCAACTCGTCGATAACGGTCTCGGGCATGGGAGGGGAGAGTAGGTTGTAGTAAAATGTTCGATTATCGACAGTCTCACGGATGGTATCACCATCGAAAGTCTCGAATTCTGGGGCCTCAACCTCGGGCCAGGGGATGACAACATTTATTCCAGGAACAATTCGATCCCACTTGTTTCCGTATTCCCATCGGTCGAAGCTCATGTTGGGGGACTTCATGTTCGGGGGAATAGCCTTAAGCTCATTGATAATGACGTCCCTTGTGACTCCGGTTTCGGGGTTGGCGATAGGATAGACGAGACGAATAGAACCAATCGAGAGGGGCATGGGCTGAGAGCGACTGTCGTTTCCAAACATACCAGCAGAGATAGCCTGAGAACCATTAGTCCCGATTCAAACCTTACAAGCCATGGTGCTTACCCGGTGATAGTTCTCGAGAGTAACATATCCTCCTTGAGCATTGATCGTCTTGATGCGATCAATCTTGCCCTTGTCCGGCCCATCCATGATAACTACACGGTCTGAAACGGCAAGGTTGAGCTGCTTCAAACCACCAGCCCAAGCACATCTCTTAGCCAGAACCTCAGGTCTTGGTTGGTAAAGACCATAATTGGACCAATCCGTTCGTACACCCTCCGAGAACATGCCATAGCCATTGAAGCCCAGATCCCGCTTGGGAGCAATAGGACCCAGCGCCCAGTCCTCCTGTCTCGCCCGGCGCGCATCCTGTAGATTCTGTCGGACCTCAGAGACAGCCGCTCGCATGGCTTGTCGGTTTCGAAGCTTGTAATTGTTCTCTTCAGATTTGGCGGCTTTTTGGGCTCGTCGGCCAGCCTGGCGCTGGGCCTGGGCGACCCGCTTGGCGAGCTTCTGCATAGCGGAGAATGAGCTGCGAGGATTTATCGAGGGGGTTCGCAGGCTCTAGCAGCTCATTGAGCGAATTGAAGCTGTTGGCGTCGAATTGTCGCTGGGCGTTACGATAATTCGTTGTGGAGTGCCAGATTGAGCTGGAAATTCTCTACGTCCAACGGAATTAGCCGCAGTAGTGTATGTGCGGATAATGGTCAAGCACTGTATCCCGCACTATGCTCATGATAGCTTCATGTCGTGTTGCTGTAAGAATTGTGATGTCGGGCTGCAATTCTTTTTTACATGACTCTCGCTTCTATGGCTACGAGAGATAGAGTTCCCTGATTACTTATGCTATTTTCAGCACAATGGCATACCTCTTTTGTTCAACTAAAGCAGTCAACCTCCTCAACTTGAGATAATCATGCTTGTCCAGGCACAGAGATCTCTGTGAGCCTTTCTGTGACTGTTCCATTGGCCCGGTTCTTGTGACCCGCGACTCTATCTCATCGCAATACTTGTTTTTCTTTCGTCGTGCAACCTATATTGAAACCGTTCTGGAACGAGAATCATGCAGGTATGATAGAATGATTTGCTCATCCAATATCACCCCGACTCAACGAAGTGTTCTTATATCATACATGAGTTCACATATTGATCAATCATCAAGGCCGGGGTTGCATTGCCGCTAAGAGGCCACTAAGGATGATTCAAGATCAGCACGTATTTGGCGGTCAGGATCACGAATTTGACAGACACAATCAAAGAATCCCGGCCCCAGGGAGCAAGAAAACCTAAGAGTTTAGAAGAGGATGCTATATAAACTAAATCCATCAAAGAGCCACCAAAGCTGAGACTGACTTACACTTAGGATTGAGAGCTTCAGCTTTCGTACCTTTTGACTGGATGTACAGATATCTGAGTATCATGACTGACCCTAATCGTGGTGATACGTATCCCGTCAGTCAGGGTCCTTGAGGCTTGAGGCAAGATGATCAGGGGAGGAGGTTGGATGAAAGTCCTACGCTTTTGGGCCAGCGTAGGACTTTTCCGCCCACTGTAAGCTCTTATTACTGGCCGTTTAGTCGCTCTAGGCTTTTGGCTTTGGCACGCGGAGGCGGGATGACACAGGGCGCATTGCATGACGGACCAGGGGTTAGAAGCTTGTGCCAGCTTCACTTCTCTTCGCTTGGATTGTCTTGTGAAGATACCTTGGGCGGTGATTGATGACGCGGAAACACATGAGAATATGTTAGCGACGGGGGTATAGAGGAGTCAAAGCAGGGGACAGAGAGAGCATTGTCCATTTCCCGCAGTAATCAGCCGGAAATCAAGGTTATCAACTTCAAACGTCTATCAAAAATTTAAAATGGAAGCTATCCTCATGCCATCCACAACAGTTCGAACAGCCGTTGGCGATAACGGCCACATCCCAGCTGGAAATCACAGAAAGGCAGATCTAGGCAATCCACAAGAACGCTTTTGAATGCTTTCCAATAAAGACAGATTCAATCACGGACCTCTCAGGCTGATGGCTGGTTGATTAGCCTCATCCGCTTCAGATGATAGAAACCGAGCCACGGTTTCAGCCTCGGCGCTATGGAGCCTAAAGTGTTCCATCGTTCGTGCGTGTCTAGATGAGATGATAGTGAAGCACCAAGCAACTCAAAGCCGACATCTACACCGCAGCAGGACTGTCTGATGGGCCAAGGACTGTCGAGCACGTCAGACCGATCGGAATTGTGCAGAAGGGCGGCTAATAGACCGGCGAAGAGTCAGAAAGAGTACTTTGCCTTTGTCACTTGTGAAGAATGACAGCGTACCTACTAAGGTAGGTAGGCAGCTCAAAGAAGCCATCTTTGCAGTTTGCAGCTCATTCTCATTGACCGTCAGTCCGTCAATCAAACTAAACCGGCTTGACCAAATGGCCAACGCCGTTACCCTGGCCCTTGATATTGTCTGTCGTCCAATGTTATCGACTAGGCCGGCTCTTATCTCATCTCGTCATCATTATCACTGGCATTCTCTGTTTCAGACTCACGTAAATGGTCAACGACGCAACACGACGCAACCACCGCATGCAAGCAGAGCAAAGCAACCAAGCGACCTACCAAACAACAACGGGCCTCCCGCACATCTACCTGTCCCGTCTTGCATCTACCACTGAAAGTTTGGCGGAGCACTCTCGGTAAGATGGATAAACTGGGTCAGTTAATTCCCCTCCTGGGAAATAACTTAGCAGAGGGAGGCTTGTGACGCGCATTGCCCAGAACCTTTCGCACTGTGACCAGACTCCACTAATTACTCACTGAAAAGGAGACGGTGTTAGCGGTTGTTGCCACCCACCAGCCGGAGCCAGGGCCACGCCGTTGGTTGCCTCAGGATGGGACCCTTTCCGCGTAACGAGATGGAGCAGAAGTACCTTTTGTGTGGGAATATCGGTAAAAGTGTACCAGCCCAGTCCAGGGGAAACATTCATCATCAAAGAGCCCAGTCCGGGCCCCAGCAGCTCGCAGCCCCAGCAACAGACGGGAGGGAAACAACAAAGCTTGCTGCAGCCTTGTCAATCCCTGATTGAAGATGGATGTGATGGTGATGTTCAGGAGCAGAGGAGGCTTATCTACGCGGACGGCTGTCGACACTTTCAATATGATAGTTCAAATATGCACAAAGGATATATCACAAGCCAGAGGCATAATAGCATTAGCCAAGTGAATTAACCTCCAAACTTGGTTCTGATTCAAAGCCGAAACCTACTTTCAGCTGTCATTGTCTGCTCTAAGCTCTTAGGTACGCTATCAAAACACAGTGCGGCTTGCAAACGCCTTGCTTGTCCTCAACTCAACAACCCTGCCCAACCCCCAGCATCACCGGCACCAAGACCTCTGATACTGGCACTTGGTACTTTGGTTCCAGCACTCTTCACGCGCTATTCAGAGGTACCTCCCGTCCTTTGAGCTGCCCTGGCTGCCTGCTGTCCTGTGCTTGCCCACCCGCTGTTGGGTCCTATCCTGTCCTGGCGCCCGCCCCGGGCTGTCGCTCCAGTGCCTGCAGTGCAGTCGGGCCCCCAGTCCTAGCGAGAAAAAAACCAAGCCCAAGCCTATTTCACCCAAGAAACCAAAGCCCCTTCTTCTTCCTCGCGTCTCTTTTCTGACTGAGGTGCTCGCTCTCTCTACTGCCAGTCCAACCAACCTGACCTAACCCAACTCATAACTCTCCCGTCCTCTTTCTCTATCCATCCATCTCCCATCTCCCATCCCCATCGACCCGCAGCCGCCGCTCTCCGCGAAACTCACAACCTGCACCATCTCCCAAGCTCAAGCTCAAGCTCGCATTTCACGCCAGCAATCTTCGTCCATTTCTCTCAACTTCTTAACCAAAAACCACATCTAATCAATAACCATGGCTGAGATCCGCCGAAAGCTCGTCATTGTCGGCGATGGTGCTTGTGGTAAAACCTGTTTGTTGATGTGAGTTGGCCTTCTATCACGACACGACACGACTTCACAGTCGACCTCCCGTCGCCCATCACGTTCCTATCCATCGCCACGTTGGCATCACAATGTTTCTATCAAACGGAATCTCAAGAAGAGGACGATGTGATGGTTTTTGGCCTCTCGGGCAGCCCAGCGCTTCGCATCGCTTGACGCCATCAGCTCTATCGTTACCGTGATAGACGCACATGCCCCTTGCTTCACCTCACCAACCTCCTTCGCCGTTTTCATTACCATCATCGCTATCATTATTCTAAACCACTTGATCAACACAATGCTAATCAATCCTTCAGTGTTTTCTCCAAGGGCACTTTCCCCGAGGTAAGAATTGACTTTGTTGCGGCGTTGCCTTTCAACATTCGCACGCTTAGCCACGCGGCTTGATAAACAGCCTTTTCATGCAACGGGCATCACCACAACAATTTCGTTGCTGACAATTTCGCCTTCAGGTCTACGTCCCCACCGTTTTCGAGAACTACGTCGCCGATGTCGAGGTCGATGGCAAGCACGTCGAGCTCGCCCTATGGGATACTGCTGGTCAAGAGGATTACGACCGTCTTCGACCTCTGTCCTACCCCGACTCCCACGTTATCCTGATCTGCTTTGCTGTTGACTCTCCCGACTCTCTCGACAACGTCCAGGAGAAGGTTTGTTCGCCCTCCAGTGCCACTTAGCTGGATGTCAGTTTCTTTTGATACAGCTTTGCTGACACGTGCTCTTACAGTGGATCTCTGAGGTTCTGCACTTCTGCCAAGGTCTCCCTATCATTCTCGTCGGCTGCAAGAAGGACTTGCGGTACGACCAGAAGACTATCGAGGAGCTCCGAAAGACCAGCCAGAAGCCTGTCTCCCCCGAGGAGGTACGATCCATTGCCCCAACAAGCGCCAAATCAAGCTCTTGAAACTTGATTGGCCAGCTTGCTGCACGCCATCTTGAAACATGCTAACAGTTATCGATAGGGTGAGGAGGTTCGCAAGAAGATCGCTGCCTACAAGTACCTTGAGTGCTCAGCCAAGACCAACGAGGGCGTCCGCGAGGTGTTTGAGCACGCTACTCGCGCTGCTCTGCTGTCGCGAAGCACCCGTGGTAGCAAGCACAAGAAGTGCCTTGTTCTGTAAAGGGCGCTATGGAAGCCCTCTGAGCGCAGTCCACGCACACGTGCCGTGGCTTGACCCTGCGTTGTAATCCTTTGTCGTTCCAGTTCAATCTCAACTTGGCCCCGGCAGTTCGGATACGGGTTCGTGGCAGCCAAAGAGGAGAAGGCTGTCGGCATGCATCGGTTTTCTCGGAATCTGGAGTTTGATATCGTCTCGCTCATGTCTGGTCCATCGGCCTACGCGCCGACCCTTCTCGCTGGATTGATGGTTTTCTTGTCGGCAGAGCCCATGGTTTCCTGGACCTCCTGAATCTCGCAGGCGGTTACTTTTCCCGGCAGATACCTCGTCTTTTTTATTATCACCACTGGCATGCGAGCGGGACCTTTGTTTTATGTATGTGCTTGTCGCGCATGGGGGAGGTGGGCCAGATGTCTTTTTTCTTATTGGGGGGGCTGTTGAGGAGGAGGATGAGGAGTGGCTCTCGTTCCTCGCTCTCCTGCCAGGTCTGTCGGTCACAACAGACTGACAGATGAGGAACTATCAGGGAGAAGTGTTAGGAGGCCGGGAGAGGCTCGTGGGCTGGTTACGGCGAGATCATTTGTGCCTGCTTGTGTGTGGATATGGATATGGGGTCCGGCTGGGGGAACCAAGTCGGTCCAGGCCATAAATCTTTTCGTTTTTCCTCTTGAAGCCTCGAGACCGTTACTTAGACCATGGAGATGGGACATCTATTGCGTAGGGCCTGCCTGTTTAATCTCTTGATTTTTTGTATATCCTGTCTGTCTTTTTTGTGATGTTATGGTACGTACAGTATACTCTTGAACGACGTGACCCTCCCTATCTGAGTATCTAGACTTATCTAGCTTGTTTGTATCTTGTTATGTATTGACATGTCATGTTACACTGCTTATGGCTGGCTGTCATTCCACAGCCTACTTGAACCAAGATGCTTATCCGTCTTGGTATGCGTATCTTGACTGATCTTATCAAAGACGGCCTCCTTGTCCACGTGCCAATCTCTAGTCATGTGGCCCCCATCCCCTGCTAGACTCTTTAATCGGCGCCGAGCCTATTTTGGTATGGGTGATACCGGTGATGTAATCCCATCAATTTCTGTGGAAGTGAGGCAGTTGGGATGATCAGCTAGCTATGCGAAGAGGGACAGTTCACGATGCACGAACACACGATGATGATATGAGGTGAATATCAGTCTTGTTTTCTCATTATCGAGATAAACAAATCAGCGAGCGAGTGAGCGTATCCTCTGCTTCAAAATACCACACAATGCATGTATGAATGAATATCAACCGCCCAAGAAAAGAGTGACGCTATCGAACAGCGGCCTCATCACAACAACCACCCAAGCCCAAACCCCCAACCACACTCCATTGTATGCATCCCTGACCTAGCCTAACACCGGTATAAACAACTTCTCGTCCGTCACATCATTTCATCGTGAGTCTGTCTCTTGGTCTTTACGGAGTTTAGACGGGGCAGTGCTAGAAGCAGTCAGCATCATGTCAGATAAGGTAGAGACGAGAGGGCGAGTATTGGAAGACATACAGCACCGCAGCTACCGCAAGTCTTGCCGGCGCCCTCGATGGCGGCGTTGCACTTGGGGCAAGTGTTGTCGTGGTAGTCAACAAGAGGCTGCATCTTGAGTGATTGTTATACGAGGAGTATGCGTTGAGAGTAGAAAGAAGAGGTCAAGTTTGGTTATGGAGAGAGGTGGCTATAGAGAGAGCACTGGAGAGGGGACCACAGAAAGAGGGGAAAGGCAACCCAATATATAACCAACTGTCAACCTCAAACAAATCCATTCCCGTCCTCTCTCACACGAGATTTACGTATGTTTCTCTATCCCAAAGCGGGGTTCTTTAACTGTAAGCGCAAATAGCGGGCTTCTGCTTTGTTTTACCCCCTCGTGCTATTCGTTGCGTGTGACACCCCTCTCCTTGTGCTTCACTTTCTTTATGTGATCCACATGCTGTGAGGTACGGCCGTAGCGTGGCACACTGTATGGATGCTGACTTGTTTTGGAGAACAGACAGTGGAAGTCATGTTGGGTTATCCCGCGGAGGTTGACAGTTGTGTTGGAGATGGGTGGGGAATAGAGGATCGTGTGAGGAGCAGGTCATTATAGCTTCAGCGGTGTATGAAGCAAGTTGTTCTTGCGATATGGATGTTAAGAATACACAAGGTCTGAGAGGAATAGCTCCCTGAAATTCTGCTATGTCCAGAATTATTGGCTTCGACATGTTGGTCAAAGTATGGTGACTACATCAACAAATATCATAGCTTCTTCACCTCGCCCATAAGCAGAGATAAGAAGAGCAATAAGAATACGAGTTCATCTGCCGAGGAACGGAAAACTTTATAATGCCTGATTGAAATGCCGATATCACGCCATGCAACTCCTTAAACAGTCCAATGCACATGGTACATGGTTTTCTTTGATCTTATCTGATAAATTTCCAACCAAATCGTCCGCCTTTTTTACATGACTTATATATCTTAACCAGCGATACTCCCTGCAGTCACGCATCTTGCTTTCATGCGTACTATCTTACACGCTTGTTGTCCCAGTAAGGGTCTATGTCTGTTGTGCTTCGTTATGCTATAATGTTGTTTGAATAAAAGTGAAAAGGTAAAGGTAAGAAACGCCTGGTACTTATACACACTGCGCCGGTCCATCTTTGCCTGTGGAGTGTCAGTACATGTTCCAACGTCCAATAGTCGAAAATGAGAACTTCAGGGGGGACTTACTGTTGATCATCTTCTGCACAGCCTGGATCACACTAATGACCATGACGATCATGCCAAACACGACCACTGCACCCGCCATATATGTCCGCCAGCTTCGTGTCGTCAACTTCATATAGCACAACGGAGGCAAGATGTAAGCCATGGCCACAGCACTTGTGGCTCCAACAAGCTCAAACACAGCACCAAGATCACAAGTCACCAAACTTAGCACCAGAGCTGACGCAACAAGACTCGTACTGAAGAGGAGATGGCGATTCATGTTGAAGGGCTCATCGGGGAAGAAGTATGTCAGCATCACTTCACGGCAGACAAATGCCTCGAGGGGCAATGTGGTGAGCATGTTGAGGCCAAAGCAGAGACGTGCAATGTTGACCATGGTGTTGTCTGCTGGAAAGTTGTTGAGAACATTGCCTAACGTCTTGTCACCAAAAGTAAGGAAACCGCCTAGAGCGAGAACAAGACAGAACACCATCGATATACCAGTTGAATAATGAGTGACTCTGGAAAAGTTATCAATGGTAGGTGTCTTAAGAGATCCGTAGATCAGGAGCGAGTTGTGATGGCAAACGAAAGCTGCATAGGTCAGCAACTCTGGTCATAAACTCATATTGTCAGGACAGATCCTTACCAAATGAAATAACACCAATGGCCTGGAAGAAACCGCCATTGAAGAGGAGGAGTGAAGGGGTAAACGAGCCCCTTTCTGACGAGGGCGTCATGATACCTTGTATAAGGATGGTGAAGACAATAACCACCATGCCAACAAGCGCAAACGTGCTTGCCTTGGCCAACTACCCAAATCCCATTAGCCCAGGTCCAAACAGGACAGTCCGCATTGTAATTCTCACCTTTGAAATATCGCGATACAGCGTAAGGGGATACGCAATGCCCATGACAAACACCGCGATCGCGACCTGTCGATTTGCCAAGAGTCCTATTACAGGCACATTCGACAAGTTCGGCCACACAGCGACCAGAACATGAGGAATCGTATCGCCAACAATGACACCATATGCGACCATTCCGCCAAACGCAAAGACCCATTGCGCAACACTGATGGCGATCAACCCGGAGTGTCCAAAGCAGTGCTCAACTGTTCCTTGGAAATGACTTGTCCCGCTGAGCTTGCTATTGATGACAATAAGACAGATCGTCCAGTCGACTACAACTGTCAAGCCTACCAGCAGGAGGATGCCTCCGACCAGTCCGGCTTGGCGCACAGCGTATGGTTGTCCAATGATGCCCGCACCGATGATAGAGTTCGCCATGTTCATGAAAGCTGATTTGAGCCCTGACTTTGGTCGGTTCATCTCGTGCTCAGCTTGTTCCGAGGGGTCCCCCATCGAATTCGCAAGAGCAACACTAGGCGCTTCAATGTTCGTCAACAGCGGCACACGATGCGCCCGACCCGGACTCGTCGCCTCCTCAACATCAAAGTACGCATCATCTGAAGATCGTCTCTCACGATCCGCAAACCCGCCGAAAGCTTCTCCATTGCTAACGCCCACGATCTCCGGTGTCAAGTCGAAGCGCACGCGGCTGGGAGTCCGGGGCTGCCCATCGGCTTCAACTTTGCCTGAAGCCTTTCCCAAATCTGCGCTGGCGTTTCCACTGCTATAATCGTCCTCGCCCACGCCAAAATAGTCGTCGTCGTAATCGTGCCCGGGTTCTAGGAGACCGCGGTCTTCGCCGTGCGGGTTCGGGGGGGCATCGTTCCTGGCGTGCGTCATTGTTGAAGGGGAGTAGCAAGTTGGTATTGCGTGTACATTTTCCCCTGGAAGAGTAAAGGAATATGATCGATTCGCTCGCGTATATGCCAAAAGGAAGAAATAATCAAATAATTAGTGTAAAAGATCGACGGCGAAGCAAAAGGATAGAAAGTCGAATGGTTGTAAGTTGTAAATGGAAAGGTCCTAAGGTATTCCAAGGATAGGTTGGTCTGTTGGTTGTCTGTCCTTCCCCCAGATAAGCATGGATAGCAAACATTAGCGTCATTTACAGCATGATAGGCGCTGGGATTGGCGTAATGCCCCTTGTGAAATCGCTGGAATCGCCCGCTAGCTGTGTCTAGGCTTATGCAGGGGCACGGATCATTCCAAGAGTATTTGAAGAGGTGATAAATAAAGGGTGAGGCTTCTATTCAGAAGGTTTGTTTGTTATTCGAGAAGCAACTAAACGGTTACATTATGAAGTATCTTTATTTGAGGTATAACGCCATCTCGCCGTTGTTGATCGTGCCTTAAACCTACCTAACTCAGACCCTTAGGATTCCAGGGGACTCAAAAATAGGGGTCCAATTTACACTCTCCTTTTCAACGGCTGTGTTTAAGAGGCGTTCACCAAAACCTTGCGAACCGACGTCTGAGAATGGGCTATAATTGTCCATTCAGGCATGCTCTGACCATTATCTATCTGCTGATTCACTCTGGTACCATCAGAAAGCAGTCCATCCATCCAATGCTTGTTTCTATTGATGTTGATGGTCTATGTCTACTAAAAAATACTTGTAGCATGGCTTCATCTGCCATCTGTAGGAACCCGAC